ATATTTATTTCTAAAACCAAACTCTCCTCTATACACATAAACCCCCAAAATATGGACCATGTAATAAACATTTTCGGCAAGGATGTATTTCAATCTTCGAGAAAAGTACGAGAAATGGTTAGGTCTTCAATATATTGAAAAAAATTCTACTGGTCCCATAGAGGGTATCTACTATATATAAGATCCAAGAGGGGCATTTATGCACCCATAGTCCTTTTTGCTTTATAGAAGACCCAAAGAGGTTTCTGCGTGTATAGAGGCCCATTTAAGGTCTTCTATTTATAGGGGACTTACCAAGGGACTTCCATGTATAAAGGACCAAATTGAGGTTCTAAAGACCCGTAGAAAATATTCTATGTATACAGGATCCACAGAGCGTCTTCTATGTATATAGATGGCTCATTTACGGTCTTCTGTTTATAGAGGACTCATCAAAGGTCTTCTAAATATAAAGGACCCTATTGGAAATATTCTAACTATAGAAGACCCTCTATGGATAGAGGACACATAGAAGGGTATTTTATGTACAGAAAACGCATAGAAGGGATAATATGTGTACAAAACCTATAGAGGATATTCTAGGAAAAAGGGTCCATTGTTGTTGTTTTTTGTTTTCAGAAGACCCATAGATAATATATTAGATATATTATACCCAAAAAGCCCCCCATATGCATAGAAGAACCTGTGAAGAGACTATTGCTGGTACTTCCAAAACCCATAGAGGATTTTCTATATAAAAAAGGTATTTTAAGTATAAAGATTCCTATTGAGAATCTTCTACGTATGGGAGACCCTCTATGAATAGAGAACGTATATGAGGGTATTTTAGGTACAGAAGGCGCATAGAGAATATTATATGAGTAGAAAACCTATGGAGGTTATTCTGTACACAGAGGGTTCATTGAGGTTCTAGTATGTATTGAGGGCTCACAGAGACGTTTTTGTGTACCGAAGACTCAGAGGATATATTAGAAATAGTACATCCAAAAAGTCCCCCTGTGCATAGGAGACCCTTTGAGGAGACTTCGAAACACATAGAGGATCTGCTATACATAAAAGGGTTTTTAAGTATAAATGATACTATTGGGAATCATCCACGTGTAGAAGACCCTCTATGCATAGAGGACACGTATGAGTATTTTTTATGTACGGAAGGCACATAGAGGAGTGTAGCAAACCTATGGAGTATATTCTACGCATAGAGGCTCCATTGAGGGTGTACTATGTATTGAGGGCTCATAGAGAGGTTTTCTGTGTACATAAGACTCATAGAGGGTACTTTAAGTTTAGAATACCCAAAAGAGCCCTCTATGCACAGAGGACCATGTGAGGAGACTACTGCAGGATCTTCAAAAACCCATAGAGGATCTTCTTTATATAAAAAAATTACAGAATGCATTCCATAAAAATTTGACATATATTTGAGGTCTGATCTGGATTTTACTTTTTACAGGGTCAATAAAAGACAAAATCTTTTCCTCGATTTTCTTACAACGAGGAAACCTCCCAAAACCCTTAACAATAAAAAAATACTTTCGCTTTGCCTTGAAAATCCCTTTTACATTAATAGCCTTTCAGATTTCGAAATTGTAATCATTCGAATAATTGACACATTAACTGGACGCCTAAGCATGCACCCTTGGCCCAAGGTTAATTAATATGAACCTCATGTTTTTGTTGTCATTGTTGTTGCTATTCTCATTCTAAGGTCTCTCTGTGTGGAATTAATTAACAATCTGTAGACAGCAATCAGCATAGCCTTGATTGGTTTCAGAGGTTTTTCAATTCTGTCTGTCCCGCTAATGGCCAATAAAAATCAATGTAACACCCAATATTAATTAGACGGCCCTTTTGACACACTGACACACTAATGGAGGGAAAAATTCAAGGAAATTATCTGCTTATAATTTGTGTTATTTTTTTTTCTTCTTCTAAATGGGGAACCCCCTTTTTCCCCGTTCGACAGACAAGTAAACAATTAACCCTTGTCAGAGGCTGCCGAAGAAAAGAAAACAATTTAAGAGAATTTTTATTTTTTCAAATCTTAAATAATTGACAATTGTCCGGCAGGCAGGCATCCATACAATGTCTTCAGACAAGCACGTGAATTATTAGATAAAATGCAAAGTGTTTAAATTACATAAAAAATAAATTTGTAAAATTTCTCTTCAACAGAAAAAAAAATAATTTTCATGTGACGCCTTTGTCATCTTTAATGGATTTTTATAACTTTACGTCACTTGGCATTTTAGCTGGGTGTTTGTCATGTTATTTTTTTCGCTTTCAAATATGGCCATTCTAACAAAACCGACGTCACCAATAAATAAATCAATTGTTTATGTTGACAGAATTACACAATTCACTACCTCCAGCCGCTCATGGCAATTGGGTATGGGCTAGGGCCCATGCCCATCCATTCAGCAATCTGGCAATTGAAAATCATGACCATAAATCAAAAATTGTCTATAAAAGATTTTCTTCAATTCAATTTTTTTGAGGAAAAAGTACACACACACGAGCATAGAGCATGACATTTTTGTAATGTCGCATACTTATGTGTGTAAGTGTGTGTTGTAGCGGTGGGGGCGGTCATGAAGAGGTTAGAAGGTAATTGTTGGTATGTTCGGAGAACTTAAGTAATAAAAAATCGGTGTTTGTGTGTGTTGTTGTAATTGTTATTGTTGTACAATAAATGTTCACAATTGTTTTTGAATGCCTAATTTTTTGGTTTTATTATTTAGATGCGGAACATAACTGAAAGGGGGTAATAGAACAACCGTTATTTGTTTCTATGGATTTTTGAGTGAAAGAGAACTTCAGAGGTTTTTCAGAATGAAGTTATTTTGGACCCGATCTCTTCGTTTAAAATGGAAGACTGATGATTTTCCATCTATGGAACCTTCTACACATACATACCCTATATAGAATACCCTCGAATGGATCATAAATAATTTTGATACCAATGGGCCTATATTCAATACCCTCTATATATCTTTTTATAAATAGAACATCAAGTATTGGACTCCTATGCATAGAAGGTCACCTATAGGTCTACACCTCTAGGTATATTTTGTACATGAAAGACCCACGCTTTATATAGAATTCCTTCTATAAGACTCATCTACAGGACTTCTGTGTCTTCTACATTAAAGTAGCTCTTCCACACATGGAAGACTATATGGTTCCTCTATGGGTCTTTAAAATAATGAATATCATCTATGAGCTTTCTAGTCTTCTGTGTATAGTAAACCCCCTATGGCTTCTTGTACCTAGAAGGCCTTCCATGGCTCCTCTGTACAAAAGGGCCATCTGAGAGCCTATTCGCCTTCCCCTATACGTAGAAGAAGAATTTATGGGCCTTTTAATGTGGTAGAACCCCATTGGATCTTCTAGGGCCTTCTAGGGGTCTTAAATACAATCAAGATCATCTGTGAGCTTTCTCGTCTTCAATGTACGGGAGAACCTCTACAGGTCTTCTATATACTGAAGACCCTCTATGTCTTCCCAGTACCTAGAAGGTCCTTCATGGCTTCTCTGTACAAAAAAGGCCATCTGTAAGCCTATTCGCCTTCTCCTATATCTAGAGAAGAACTTCTGGGACTTTTTATGGAAGAACCTCTATGAATCTTCCACAAATGGAAAACTCTCGATTTATTTATTAAAATCAGGATCATCTGTGAGCTTTCTAATCCTCTATATATGGCTTCCCTGTACCTGGAAGGCCTTCCGAGCGTATTCGCTTTCTCCTATACCTAGAGAAGAACTTTTCGGCCTCTTAATGTGGAAGAACCTCTATGAATTTTCTACACTAGGAAGACTCTCGATGGCTCCTATATACCAAGAAGGCCCTCTATGGGTCTAATAAAGAAAGAAGACTATCTGTGAGCTTTTTCGTCTTCTATATATAGGACACCCTTTATAGGCTTACTATACATTGAAGACCCTTTATGGCCCCCCTATACCTAGAAGTCCTCCATGGCTTCTCTGTACAAATATGGCCATCTGTGAGCCTTCTCTTTCTTTCTCTGCCAACCCATGTCAATTCTTACACAGATCTTATATGATTCTTCCGTACCTACATAGTAGACCCTATATTGTTCCTCTATACAAAAATCTACCCTCAAATGGGCCTTCTACACAAAAAATGGAATCTAAGTGACTTCAATATACATGGTACCCCCTATAGGTTGATAGAAAAACTCTAGAATACTCCAATTTTCACATAGAGGATACTTTATGGGTGTTCTATGCATATAAGGACCTCTATGGGTCTGCTATATTTATAAGACCCTATATATGCCTTATTTACATTGAAGGCATTATATTACCCGTATTCCTAATAGAAGACCCTCTATTATTCGTATATACATAAAAGTTATCAATCGGAGGTCTTCCGTACATAATAGCAGACTCTCTATGGAGCTTCTATGTCTAGTCGAACCTGAATAATTATTTTGTACATAGAAGACCTCCTATAGTTTAGTAGAATAACTTTGTAATAAGGTCTTCTACATACATTTAATAACCACTCTTCTTCTTTCTGTATACGTTCGGAAGGGAATTGTTTTATTGTAAAAAAAAATACAGGATTATCCTGAAAATATTCGCTGAATAGAAATTCTGCTCAGGGTGTTCTACAGAAGATCTAATAGAGATATTGTATCAGTAGAAGTTTTTCTGAATGTGTCCTGCATATTAACAGTCTCCTGGAGATCTTCTATCTACAAATGATCTGCAAGAGGTTCTATTTATTTCTGTGTGGGAGATCTACTTGAGAAAAAACCGACTGGTGGTCTATCTGTGAAAACATCCACATAATATCTGTTGCAGATATTCTATTCAATTAATATTGGTAAGAGATTTAAAAAAAAAATCGGTAGGTCTTCTTGAGATGGACTTCTGCATATGAAATATCTGAAAGGGATCCTATGTAGGTATAAAAACTTTTACCGTTATATGGATAATTGATTCAGTTATAAAGAGATCTATCAAAAATTTCTTTACAATTTATTTTTCTCCATAAATTCCTTAGCCCTTTCAATATTCTCCCGAATATCATCTTTCGCTCGATTATAAAGTTCTATTTCGAATGTCAACATTGGCGGCAATCTCTGGTGACCACCAATCCCCTCCCTATTCAACTGGAATTGGCAAGCAAAATATGGCAATTCATTAATCTCCGATGGTATAAAACCGACTTCTTGAATATTCTTCACACCCTGCAGGGCAGAAACCACAGAATCACAAAATTGTGCCACACAATAACCCATAGAATGTTGGGCAGCTCCCTGGTGATTTTTGGCCAAGACAACTTCCTGGCCACCATTTATAATCCTATTAGCCAATTTAATTTGTGTCTCCAAGTCCAAAGCAAATTTCGGTTGTGATTGCGAAAGCAGGGGGACAATACTTTTTTCCGAATGACCACCAATCACGGGCACATGCACATATCTTGGATCCACTGCCATATACTCAGCCAGAAAAGTGGCAGCTCTCATGGCATCCACCTTGGTGCAACCACTTAGCCTTCTGGGATTATAGATTCCATGTTTTTTCAGTAATTCTGCGGCTAGTGGGACCAAGGAATTTACCGGATTTGTAACAATGTGGAAATGTGGTTGGCTGCCCTCCTTTCCACTAACCTTTGCTAAGGTCTCAATCAGGTGCACCATTAATTTGGCATTGCCTTCAAACATTTGTTCACGACTTGTTATGCTGGGCGTATGGGACTGTCCCCCCGTCAAGACCAGAATATCACAACATCGCAGAGCCTCGTGTAAATTTTCGGCTCCACTATAACCCGTAACCTTGGGTATTGTGTTGATATGCGACAGATCTGTGACCAGGCCTTTTGTACAGCTTATATCGTATAGGCAAATTTCACTGAATCGGTTATTTTGTTTTAGTTGTTGAGCCAGGGACCGGCCCACTCCACCATTTGCTCCGATGATAGAAATTTTACAAAATTCGAAGACTTCTTGACTGACGAAACGGCGGAAGTTCTTTAGCATAGCTCAAAGGGGAAAAATTTTTTTTGTATTTATTTTTATTTGGAAATAAGGGAAATTAAAAAAATACACTGAAAGAAAGTTTTCTATTGTCAAATATATGGGGTCAAGATCATTCGGAAAATATGGAGATAAACATTATAATTCGTAAAGATCAGATCAACCACTCTATAAGAAAGATATCACGATTTTTAGAACAAAAAAGATCTTAACAGCAAATCTGTGGATAGGAGGACGTCCAGCTGGTCTACCATAAAAAGTAAACTTATCATCATCATTGTAGACTATCTTCGAAGGTCTTCTGTGGAGAGAGAATGGATGTCTTCAGCTAGTCATCTGTATAAGAACTCAAGCCGGTCTTCTACAGAAACAGGATAACATATTTCCATTCAGTCGGTTTAGGATCTTCAGCAGGACTTCTGTAGAGAGGACACCGACCTCTAGCAGAAGTGTAGATTCCCAACAAATCTCCGATCGATAGAATATTTTCTCGTATACAGTGAGGTCTGATACATAGGATATGGGTCCATATGGTGTCTATAGAGAAACGTTTTCAAGCAGGCCTTCTTTAGATAAAAGTACCTTGACTGGTAGTTAGTAGAACTTCATCAGGCCTCTCTAGGAAGCAGAACACCAAAAGTCCATCCACATAGAATACCTTCAGGAATACTTTCCCCAATAACCTAAGTAAATCCGACAAACTTTTGCATATTGTAGAGCCACCAGCCGTCCTGCTGAAGATATAAATTGTTAATCATCTTTTTTATACCCAAAAAATCTTTATATGGACTTCTATGCAGAGAAGATATTCAGGCGGATTTTTTAGACAAAAGTTCTCCAGCGGGTGTTCTTAAAGTCCTTTAACAGATCTCCGGTATACAATTTCTCCCATTATCTCCCTTCGAGGCCTCCAGTAGGCCTTCTTTTGAGAGAATGTATATAGTAGGTCTTCTATGAAAATTCGGAGGTCTCTTATAGGTATTTTTTAAACAAAAGGTCTCTTAAAGTCCTTCAACAGATCTCCTGTATAAAATTTCTCCCATTTTCTCCCTTCGAGGCGTACAGTAGGCCTTCTTTCCTACAGTGGGCCTTCTTCTATAAAAATTCGGAGGTCTCTTATAGGAATTTTTTAAACAAAAGGTCCTTTAAAGTCCTTCAACAGATCTCCTGTATAAAATTTCTCCCACAATCCTTTCACCGATAGAATAGATCTAGGCTTCGAAGTCTCCTGTGGACCTTCTGCTAAGAGAAATAATTTCATAGAGACAGGATATTTTTCAGGCATTTGATAGAAAAAAGGCCTCTATTAGACATTTTTGAAATAGAAGATCTTTGTCAATTGAGGGCAGACCTGCAACATAGAAGGTCTTCGTGAATATAAGTCTGTCGACAAAGGTCCAAAGGCCTCTTATGAATCACTCCTAACAGACCTGCTAAAGATATAAGCCTTCCATCATAATTTCTATAGTCCTATTATAGGAATACACATTCAGCTGGTATCTTGAGGCAGAACTTCTTTGATAAATCTACGGTGAATAGTTGACCCCCGTGTGTTCTCTATAGGCAGGATACCATCATCAGAGCTTCTACTGAGAGAATACATGCAGTACTTCTAGCCCCGAAAATATAGCAACCAGGAGAATTTTTTGGTAGTCTTCCTCAAAGTTTTAATACCGACAAGCAGACCTAAATAAGTTCTTTTATAGAGACAACAAACATTGCATTGCAAAATCTTCTATCCGAAGTGGCTTCTCTAATTTTTTAGGTCTTCTACAAAGAGAAGGTGTCCAGGAGCTTGATACAATTCCATAGATCTTCCTCCAATGAAAGAAGACACTCAGTACGCCTTCTTGAGATAGAATTTCAATACTTCTTCGGTTAAAAATATACCTCAAACTAATCTCTACAGGAGGAATACTAGAAGAGGTTCTACTGAGAGAATACATCCAGTAGACCTTCCACAAAGAGAAAACCTCCAGTAGGTTTTCATAATAGACCTCCAGCGAGCTATCCATAAATGGAGTAACTTCTGCTGAGAAAAATCTGCCAGTGGTCTTTTGTAGGGAGTAAATCTATCGAAAGGGATTTGACCTTAGGCATATAGCCTCAAGACTTTCTTCCAAGGGAAATCCGACATATACTATTCTATTGAGTACAAAAAATGTACCTTCCGTAGACAGTTCTCGGCCGTATTTTCACCTCCATACAGCATTCAGAGGGTGTCAGAGAGAAGACACCCTGCTGGGCTTCTAGAGACAGAAGGCCTACAGTAGTTCTATTTGAAATAGAAGCCTTTCCATTGACAGATGTTCTTGAATAGAAATCTCATTTATAGGAAATTGCCTCCAGTAGATCTCTATAGAAATTAGACCTCTATATAGCCTTCTACTGAGAAAATACAATTCGATGGTATTTCGTTGAAGCTCTTCGCATGGAAATAGTTATTCTAACCAATGCTTCTGCTCTTGCGTGATTTAAATTATTTAGTCAAAATTTTCTATGAATTTCCTTAAATGTGAAATAATCACAATTACTAACAAACACACACACACGCATACACTAACACCCATACATCACATCTAACAATCACTTCATTTTTTGTGTTCAACTGTCTCTATTTGTCTGACCACTTAAAGATAGACAGACAGTCAGTCAGGCAGAGACATTACATCTTGAGGATGGAGATCAGCAAAACCCAGTCTCCACTTTTCCAAATGTGTGCCGTGTTTGGGTTTCTCTTCCTCTTACCTTTTTTTTGTAGTTGTTGTTGTTGCTGTTTCCCTTTCCATTGTAATATTACGTTAATGTAATAGAGGAAAGAAGAAGAAGAAGAATGTGGGTCAGTCAGTCAGCCAGCCAGTGATGGTGGTACTTAAGTTGCAGTGCATTCAAATGTAGAGTTGGGTTTTCATTCAAAGCTGCTGGAACAATTGCAGTTTAAAGTTGGGCCACATGAAATGCCAAAGGAAGTAAGTAACAAAAAAAGAGGAGAAGTCAGATCCGAAACCTCCGGAATTTATTCAAAAGATTTTGTAATGTGTTTCCGCTCATAATTAAATCTTTGATAATATCCAAAAAGCACACCGCAAATGTTTCTTAATTCCCTTTGGATTTTATCGTTAACATTTACGCTTTGCAATAACCATCATCATCATCTTTCACCCATGTCTCTCATCTTCATCATTCTCGCCGTCACGGCTAGGCAAAAAGGTAAAGATTTTTGAAATGTCAAGGCACCTTCGAGGTTTCAGGAGGGGAGAAAAGGTAGCTAAAACTCGACGTTTGATGATGGAAATGCCAGAGGAACTGAAGAGGGAACCCTCTTCCCTCTAAGCACTAAAATGCATCACTTCCTCCTCCCCTCCGTCTGCTCTTTACAACTCCTTCCTAAATTGACTTTTATTGTGCCATCTCCATTTTTTTCTTCTCTAGTTAAGTCAAGCTTAAAACCAAACACACACACGAACTCACACATATGGAAAGACTCCCATGTAATGTGACCCACACTCTACGAACACACACACACACTTACTCACATGTCAAAACAAAATATGACATTTTGGTGAAGTCACAGCAGAAGTAGAAGCAGAAGACAAGCAAAGATTTTATCAGTTTTCATTTTGACCCCGTTTTCTTAATGTTCCTATTGTTGTTGTTGCAGCTTTTGTTGTTGTTCTTATGAAAGCGGAAAAATCTGCGGTGGAAATCTAAACTTTCATTGAAATCGCTTCGTTTCTTCTTCGTTATTGTTTTGTTGTTGTGGCTTATGTTAAACTAATTAGTTGGGAGTTTTTGGGTTAGGTGAGCAAGGGGGGAAAAAGACGTGAGGAGAGAGAGGAAATTGGAAAAATATTATTTAATGAAGATCTCATTAAAGACCTCCAGATCTTCTACACGGCTGTCAGAGGGGACCAATTGTGAGGAGTTATAAACACGAAAAATCTTCTATGGATATGGAAAACCTCAAATAGATTTTCAATGGGCAAAAAAACCTATGTCCTCAATATATATAGAAGACCTCTTAGATTTTCGAAGGAGAAAAAATATTTGAAAGACCACATATGGATCACATAAAAAAATCACTGACCAATGATGAGCTTCCCACATATGGGTATGGAAGACTTCCTATCAAATTTTCTATTGAAAAAAACTTCGAACCGCAAACAGAATATTTTATTGATAGACATTTAAAAAGAGGTCCGCAAATACATGCAACAAGCACTCTACTTAAACAACAACATCCTCAGATGACTACAGGATGAACACTTCCTGTAGGACTGTAGAAGTCATTCAACGGAATTTGTAGAAGTCCAGAGGATCGAGAAGATCGTTTATAGTTAGGGGACAAAAAATAAATCCAGAAGTCCGTAAGAAGATACATATGAACTTTTACAGACCTCCATGGATCATTTTATAAGGGATCAAATCTCCACAAGTCCTAGTAGATAAAAAATTTTCTTGTAGATCATTTAAAGATAGAATATATCTAGCAGGTATCGTATAAACCTCCATCGGCCCTTCAAAGAACCAAGACTTAAAACAGTCTTTTTTTTTGGAAAAAAAATCAAGCAAACCTTCAAAATAGAGAGAAGACCTCTAGAAGGTCATATGTAAGTAGAATATCTTCTACATAGAATAGTTAAAGAACCTCCAGAAACGATTTAAAAAAATAAAATATTATATATCTCCAGCATACCTTCGTTGATAGAAAAATCTAAAAAAAATAATCTCCAGCAAGCCTAGAAGTGTCGCAGCAGAACCCAACACATATAGAATACTTTTAGCAAGCCTTGAACCCACAACAGACCTGCTACAGTCTTTCTATTTACAAAGGAAATATATTCAGATTCCATAGTAGAAAACCTTTATTGAACTTTCTAGGCCTTTATCCCTAATATTCCGAAAACCTTTTATAATTAGGGAGTCAAAAAAATCCTCCAGAAGTCCATAGGTGGGGAAAAGACATTCATATAGACCTTTTAAATATTGAATATATTTAGTAG